CACACACACACACACACACACACACACACACACACACACACACAAACTAATATAATGAAGTAAAGTGTGAAAACTAATGTGATTTCTTGCCAAGAGAGCTCAACACTTGCAAATAAAAAAAAAAAGAAACGTGCAAACTCAGAAAACATCTTCATCAAGTTGTTGACACAGGTGCTCACACCCAGAACAGTGATGAACCTGGCTGTAGTTCAATGCTCTGTGTCATTGAAGTCTGCTACTCGTCACTGGTGATGGAACTTCACAAAGCCAGCTTCTTCGCTTCTTTAGCCCCCCTTCAAACATTCCTGTTGTTGTTTTTCACTATTCTCAGCGTGCTTCTGTATTTGCAGGTGTTGGGACTTTTTGCAGCACACGTGTCATCAAATTGATAAAAAATCTTCTCTGAGTTTGCACATTTTTTCAATTTGCATCTTGATTTGCATTTGACGGGCTCTCTTGGCCACCGTACTCTGCGGACAGGAAACACAGCCAAGGAACTTGCAAGATGGGTTAAACATCCTGCAGCAGGAGGAACATTTATTTATTTTACTGTGTCATATGCAGGTGACACACAGATGTATTTCTCTTTAAAAATGAATGACTCAGATCAACTTAGTTTACACAATGACTATATCCTGAAGATTAAATGTGTGTTTTTTCCTTCAGGATTCATTGAAGGAAAATATCTTCAAGGTGATAACTATTGGCCCGACACAGTCAAAACCTCCATGTTAAACCACCTGCAGTTTGTCCATGGTGTCACCTTTGATAATGGCTGGGCACAAAGAGAAGGTGCAGCTCTGGTTTCCTGACAATAGACCTGATACTTTTGACCAATGGATTGTGCACAGCTGTTTCCCTGAAAGTCGGCCCAGCTGTTTGTGACTCCATGCAGTTATAAAAAAAACAAACAAGGGGGGATCAGGTTATAAATGCTCATTTTCTTCAAGGGCCATCTATTTGCGACCATTGGGTGGCGCTGTGGACAAGCGAATGCACCCTCCATGCTGGTCCTGCTGCAGCCGTCTCCTTGAGGCCTCCTGGATGGCGATCACACACAGCAAACACACCCTGTAGTCACGTCTTAATTTTGAATTTGGCTCTGTGTCAGTATGCAAATGTTGACATCTTCCCCCTGCTGTTCCTCCTTCCTCCTCACCCTCACATCAGCACAGGGTGATTATTACGTCGCGTGAAAGTTTCCCAAATTCTCAGTGGGGGGAAACAAAGCTGTCACGCTCTATTCTCCCAAGTTTCCTGCTGGGGCTGTGGAACTCCGCTGTACCACGTTGTGATCCTCTTACCTCAGCCTCATGCTCGATATATAAGCAGGGACCTAAAGTCCTACTCCAGGATTTGGGATTATCGATATAAGGGGATCCGACAGTCAGCAGAAACAGGAGCTCCGTGCAGCCTGGGATGGAGAGATTCCCTCCAGCTAGATCAGTAACTTCTCAGGCTTCCCTGGAACTAACTGCAGAGGTTGTTGAGATCAGCTGGGTATCGGCTGCTTCATGATTCCCTTCTTTGCTTTGACTATAACTACTACATGTATCAAAGCTCGCGAAGACATAATTGGTAAGAGAAGTGCTGTATATGCTGCCTTATCTGACATTTCTGGATTTACGGTTGACTGCCGCTCACCCTGTGGGCCAATTGTGGATTGCCTTGATAAATGGGAGTCAGCGCTCTAAGGTGATTTTGAAGTAATGCAGTTCCTCTGGGACTCGGAGGAGGAATTACTTCATAAGGAATACTTGCACGCTACCCCCCTCTCCAGATATTGCAGCATTTTTGCTCCTTTCAGACAAAGTACCACTTCTGGTGGATCGTCTGTAGCCTCCACCGCATCTTACCCACTTTCATAAATGACAGCCAGTTGATTCTGTGTTAATGCAGTTCCTACTAAAGGCTGTGTACATTATTTCCCTGTTCTGCTTCTCTAGAGCTCCAGCGCTGGTGGTTTTCATTCAAGCTGTTTTAATGAGGACAGAATAGACATGAGATACCAGAGGATGCGGTTAATTACCTTGTACAATAGAAAACAAGTGGCACTTTGGGTCCTTAAGATCTGCATTGAAACCAGTCACTGCCTGTGTTTTGCATAGCATGAAAAACTGAATGTTAATAAAGACAAAAAAGAATAACAGCACATGCGTCTCTCTGCCGGGCCTGACAGCAGCACCATCATTGATCTCATCTTCTCCACTGCAGAGCGTTCCACTATGAGACAACATCTCAACCACATTAAAACTAAAATCAGTCCCTTCTCGAGGTGTTGTTATAACATTAAATGTTACGACATTTTGGGAGAAATTTGCTAGTTTGTATTATTTATATCAGCAACACCCAGAGACGACCACACGTTTAAGTGCACTGGCATCCTCTGCCAAATGAAAATGAATATTGCCTATAGTCATGCAATACCATTACAGAGCTTAGCATCTTTTTCATGACAAGTAAATACTGGTTGATAAAAAAACAACCAATATCATCTGATTCAAACAGACTATTCATCCTTTTTTGTTTGATTTCATTTATTTATCTTTTCTGATCTCTAACAGTCTTATTCTTGTATGGCTCTGCAACTCAAATGTACATGCTCCAAAATCGTATTTCCATTTTGCATTCACTGTATGCTGCTGTTGAAGCCCTTAGCAGTTCATTTACTCTTATTCCACCCTCTTCTATTTCTAAATGGACACTTAAATCTTCCCCCAAACCGACCCAGAGAAACGACGCCTTTGACCATATGCACCGTCTCAAGTAAGAGACTGAAACGTTCTGGAGGACAATGTCTCAATCCTGGAGAAAAATACAGCTAGTTGGTCTTAAAAGGATCAGGTTCCATACTGCGTGCCCCAGGTGTTCAAATCTGCAGGAGCTGATTGTTCCTGAGAACCACAGGCAAGCTCTTCTTAGAAATACAATGATGAAAAGTACATGTGCTTCTCCTGACTGCTCCACATACTCAGGAGTGAAAAGAACAAGTGGCCTCGAGTTGGAAGATGAACTTTATTCTAACATATAGCAGAATGTGAGAAATGTATAGAATGATCGCAAGTATAAAAAAAAATAGTAAAGAATTGTAAAGACACAAATACTAAGGTATTTAGACACCATACACATCACAAACCCATGCACTAACACCAAATAGCCACCAGTGTTTGTCCCCAAAAATATTAGATAAAACATCAGGTGACCTAACCGACATTTCATAAATTAACCTAATAAACTTTGCATTTCTAATTTCTCTTGTCTCGAGCATTTAGCAGGAAACCTCCTGTCGTAGAATAGAATACATCACAGGCGTGTTTACATTAGAGCTGCGGCGGCGTGCGCAGTGAAACCCCTGCCTGACTTGTTCAGTCTCACGGGTCAGAGTCTGAAAACATCTTCTTTGTGCATGTCATCGCTTCACTTCTAACTACGACAATATTGGATTCCCCTGAATCTTCCCTCCAGGCATTTCTATCCTCGTGTGCTCACGAGAAATACACAAAAAAACTGCTACAACACAGAATACACTCTGCTGCTTTCAGGGTAAAGAAACCTTCTCATGTGCAACACGACACACACAAACAGGTTACTGGTTTTACTGCTGGGGCAGATCAGTGTGTGTGTGTTTGTGTGTGTCCTGCATATTTCATGGCAGTCCTATCTGCAGGGGCTGGAGATTAAATAACCTTGTATGGATCTAAAAGCATGTATTTCAGTTTTTACTGCAGTTATCGTGTTGATGAAATGACATTATTGCCTTGATCTCCCCCTCGTGGCTGGCTGCAGTATCATAAACCTCACCTCCTCCGTGGTAGTAGATGGGACATGAACCCAACCAAAATTGAAATATGATGTTAGGTTTTTAGTTATTTGATGTTATAAAACATGGTGAAATGTCATGACTGGCAGCTGCAGCTGACTTTTGATCGGTCGAGCTCCGTCCCCTTATAAATACTGCGCAGACTAGAGCTCCAAATGTGCAAGATGACGGCATTCAGCAGGAAGTCTGGTTCTTTTAAAACGTTTCTTCCAGTTAATGAGGGAGTTTTTTCTCTCCGCAGTCGCCAAAGTGCTGCTCATTGTGGGAACAGTTGGGTTTCTCTATTCAGTGTATATAATGTACAGTAGATATATTATGATTTGGTGCTATACAAATAAAATTGAATTGAAGTGGAGATACATTGTCCATCTTTAAATAGAGATTACCTCAGCCAGGGTGGCTTTGTTTTTATCAGCGTTTGTCTGTTAGCAAGAATATGCAAACATCTCAGGACGGATTAACACAAAACTTTGTGGAATGATGCGGTACGGGTCAGGAAGCAACACCTGGCGATTTTTTATGTCGCATCTTCAACATTGAGAGATTGAGAGGTGTTTTTATTTTTTGGACACTTTCACAGTTAACCAGGGAATAGCTCATGGATCTAGATGGAAGAAAACGAGGCATATTAAGGTGAGTGAGGGTGCAGCAGGATTAGATTTAAGGGACTTAAAATTGTCACCTTGTTGGAGGTGTTCGCTCTAATTTAACTCTTCGGACCAGTTGCATTATGCTGGAAGGTGTTTCTGTTATTTTGTCCACTCTGGGATAAAATATGCACCATAATTGGACTGCATTATACTGTAAACACCTTTCTTGTGGGCCACTCCTGGTGAAGGGGTTGGTTGGGGGGTTGTTTCTTGGGGCTTGACACAGATTTATTGTCATTAATAATAAAAGTGTGAGAAATATGCTGCAATAGTTGCTGTGAATCAGACATCAGATGTACTTTTGAGAACAAAT